TTCTTTGGTTCTTTCGGTAAAGTTACGTAGATAGAAAATAAAAATAAATAAATTGATAAAAGCAAAAAAACCCACGACGTTTCGATTGCAACACAAGCGGTCTTCATCAGGCGGAGAGAAAAGAGGGGGCAAGTCTCCAAATGCAACTGCTTCTAAGGGCTTCCAGAGTTGTGAGTGGGCGGAGGACCGAGAGTGACGAGGCAGCAGCAGGGAAAGTTGTGCGGCGTGAACAGCATGGGCGGGGCAGCCAATGGGGGAGGGAGGGGGTAGAGATAGGGGGGGGAGAGAGGGGGGAGAGATAGGAGTAGAGAGAGAGAGAGGGGGGTTAGAGATAGGGGAAGAGAGAGGGGGGGTAGAGATAGGGGGAGAGAGGGGGTAGAGGTGGGGGGGGAGAGAGGGGGGTAGAGATGGGGGGGAGAGAGGGGGGTAGAGATGGGGGGAGAGAGGGGGGGAGAGATAGGAGGAGAGAGAGAGGGGGGGTTAGAGATAGGGAGAGAGGGGGGGTAGAGATAGGGGGAGAGAGGGGGTAGAGATGGGGGGGGAGAGAGGGGGGTAGAGATGGGGGGGGGGAGAGGGGGGTAGAGATAGGGGGAGAGAGAGAAGGGGGGGTTAGAGATAGGGGGAGAGAGGGGAGTAGAGATGGGGGGAGAGAGAGAGGGGGGGTTAGAGATAGGGGGTAGAGATAGGAGGAGAGAGAGGGGGGGTTAGAGATAGGGGGAGAGAGGGGGGTAGAGATGGGGGCAGAGAGGGGGGTAGAGATGGGGAGAGAGAGAGAGGGGGGGTTAGAGATAGGGGGAGAGAGGGGGTAGAGATAGGGGGAGAGAGAGAGGGGGGGTTAGAGATAGGGGGTAGAGATAGGAGGAGAGAGAGGGGGGGTTAGAGATAGGGGTAGAGATGGGGGGAGAGAGAGAGGGGGGGTTAGAGATAGGGGGTAGAGATAGGAGGAGAGAGAGGGGGGGTTAGAGATAGGGGGTAGAGATGGGGGGAGAGAGAGAGAGGGGGGGTTAGAGATAGGGGGTAGAGATAGGAGGAGAGAGAGGGGGGTAGATATATAGGTGGTAACTGAAGACGAGGGCGCAGTCCAAGTGTGTTAGACAATGGGGGGAGGAAGAGGGTAGAGATGGGGGGGAGAGAGAGGGTGGTAGAGATGGGGGGGGCATTGCACCTCACTACGCCCATCCACACTGCTGACGGTAGAGGTTGACAAGAAAGCACAAATGAAGTCATGACCCAAAGTGGTTGATGACATCTGTCCAATGATTGCCGAGTTTATAACCGTCGTCTCGGTTGAAATTGTGTCTGTGTCTGTATACATGGATGGCTTCGTGAACGAATCTTTGTTGATAGCCAGTCGGCTTGCCAAGTACCTTCGTCTTAGAGAAATCAATTTCACGTGAGCCAGCCGCATTAAAGCAATGATCAGCCACGGCTGAGGTATTGGTCCTGCCGTGTTTCAGATCTGCCTTATGTTCACGAACACGGTCCGAGACTTGTCGTTTGGTTTCCCCAATGTATCTGCTGCCGCAGATACAGCTTAGTTTGTAGACGCCGGGATATTGCACGTCAGGAATCTTGTCCTTCACAGTTGCGATCAGATCACGAATTGTATGCACTGAGTTACCACCTGCTGCATTATAATGAGACGTGACTGGGAGAATCTAATGCAGTGTTAGTCACTCGGCTTTCAGAGTGGGCGCCACTTTCGCCGCAAAGACATCAGTGTGAGGGCCGCCACACGCTCGAAACCATTGTTGGGTTTGACAGCAGCACGATGCTGATGATGATGATGGGGGAGGTGTTGTCACTCTTTGTGTATCGTGTAGGGCAGCACGTCAGGGCCCGCACTAAAGGCCACCAGGGGCCCCCAGTAGCCCGCGGGCCTTGAAATTGAAGAACACCGATCTAACGTTCTTGAGCAATACCACGGGCAGAGCTAATTAGAAGTCCATGATCGCTGACGTCTTTGAGAAGGGACATGTCACACAGAGAGCGACACGTATCCTGGGTACGGTGTGCCGGGTGTGGCAATATTTGCCTGTTCTCCGACGAGGCTGAAATTAATACATTTTTAGGGGATCGTTATGCGTGAGTGGTCACAGTATTACTGTCGCTCGCAAGCGTGGAGTGGGGATGCCGTGGCCTGCGGGGAGCTGAGCACCAGGGGTAGTTCTGAAAGGATCCGCGGAGATCTGAGAAGCTTCGGCTGGGACCCTGCATCGAGGAGCAATCGTGCACCACCGTGCCTCCACACCCCACACGGCAATCCTGGTCTCGTGAAATCTCGCCGAGCTAAACACAATCAGCTTGAACGATCTCGCATATTTTCTCCCTTCCCCTCCGCTCCCCATGCCATCATCGCACATTGCAAATAAAGGTTTTATATATATAAAGCTCTATAAGCTTTCTGAGTCGTATTGCGGTTGGCAAATGGAATAATAAATGTGCTCTTCTCTGAATAGGGTGTTGATTGTTGTTTTGTGTGTGTACGGGGGGGGGGGTAGAGCGGTAGCGTAGCACGCTACAAATCAGGAACCCCTGAGTTCGAATCCCGACCCGTGGCAAACAAACATAATTTCGTTTTACTTTTTAATTTCATTATATTAACCGGTTCTGGGCATTCTCTCGGTCTACTAACGTCTCAAGCGAGTAGCTGCTGCGCTAAGGCCACTCGTCCCCGACACTCTTAGAGGTTACAATACTCAGCGAGGATGTTTCCGAATGAAGGGCAAATTTGATTACGCGTTGCAAGCGAGTCGAAATTACATTTCCTCCCGAGACATCACGTTTACAATATATATATACCGCAGTACATATTATTTAGGTCTTTCGGTAAAGTCACGTAGATATAGGTTCAAATCACATATATATATGAATTCCTGCCGTCACGAAAGCTTTCAGCCAAGATACTGCAGTACACACAACCACCCTCCATTGCACGTGTTGTGTGTAAATGCGTGATGCGTTGTCAAGGACACAGCGGCTTTTAAACTCGCATCCTGCTCCTTGCAGTCATCACAAGACCGCGCAGCGACTCCGGGTCCAGTCGTTCCCACTGCTGCCAGGCGTTAATCGGATCACTTCGATAACATCTCAAATCAACAATTGGCCTTAGATCCAAGAGTGTACACGAGGCGCGTGCGACTGATAAATCGTACGGCGCACGAAGCAAGCGGAGTGGCACGAGCTCGCACGGCACACGTGGGCCCTGCGTGGTCAGCACCACGCCCGGCCTCGTTTGTCTCCCCGCCGCCGATGTTGACACATCGCACCAAGCGCCCCATGTGACGCTGAGTCGGCCTAGGGATGTTGGCCGTGAGTGGGAATCGAACTCGCCGGGTTTGAAGCGCGGTGCGCTAACCACTGCGCCACCGCTCACCACACACCGATAGACACAAATATACAATGGACTCACATAAACACACAAAGACAAAGATACCCCCTGTCGCCTGAACAGACTTGGGGCAAGTGCTGTTAGCGAGCACCTATAAAGGCCGGCACGGCACACGAGGGGGTGGGTGGCCAGCATCAGGCCCGACCGCCTTTGTCTCCCCAGTGACACATACTGACTCACCTCTCGCCTGACATCAAAGCGCATTGAACGGCTCCGAATGTTGACCTCTTTATACGTACAGCACTGTACATAACGTAATCATCAGAGCAGTTGCGCAGAACATAACTAACAAAATAGATAAGCAGCCAGTGGTCCCTTCATACGTACATATGTCCATCCACATCAAAAACAAATGTCTTCTTTACACAACCTGAAGCCCCATACCGGGAGCGCATGAGTTCGCCTGCTGTGCCTGAGCCCATTGCTGTGTGTGACCACGTGGCTAGAGCCGTGATATTGTGCGAAGACATTTGCGTGACAGTCGCGTGAAAGTCGCGTTATTTGATAGATTTTTTTATTTAAAACATGCTCAAAATATTTGCCAATTACACTATGTGTGGCCTTCAAAGGAAATATATAATCGGCGACGTTTCCCCTGATGGCTCTTCTTCGTGGCGTATTCATTGGTGTACTATGAAGAAGGCTCATTGCCCGAAACGTCGCCTATTATATATATTTTTTATAAGGCATTGTTATTGTCGAACGTTTTGAGTTTTTTTTCTTTTTATGAAACTGGAGGTCGGGCTTTACGGGTAACATATCATCTGTACAATATTTGAACTTGAGCAGAGATTATATGAATAGATGTTCATAGCAGTGAACGGAGTTCGCTTTATGTAACGGATCTCTATGAGAGTGAATGGAGATCGCCTGATGAAACTTCGCCCAAATCAGTGCGCCCGGTGTGGCGAGCAAGAGCGTCGTCGTCAAAAATGTCAATCATCAACAACGCCATCGTCATCGCCGGGAAGAGCGGAGATCCGTGCATGGGGCGGGAAAGATGAGAGAGGGAGGAGGAGGGAGCAAACAGAGGGGGATGGAGGGAGGCAATGCGAGCGTGAGAAGGGAATGAAGGTATGAATGTCGGGTGGGACGGAGAGAGAGGGGGGTGGGATGATAGGAGGGCAGAGCGGAATGAGGAAGGGAGGGAGTCAGTGATTGACGGACGAACGGGCAGATGGAGGGAACGAGAGAGAACAGAAGGAGTTGGATGATGGGATGGAGTGAGGGAGAGAGAGAGGGAGGGTACGTGTGCGTGTGTGCGTGCGTGAGCGCGGGGGGTGTGGGAGTGTGGGGTGGATGGAGGGAGAGCACGCAAAGCTCAGGGTGAGGGTTGCCTTCCGCTGAGATCAGTGTCCGTGATGGAGTCGGCGGCGTTGGCGGTGATGGATCTCCGTCTGTGACTCACGCAGAGGCGAGTGGAGCAGAGTGGACGACGGCGGCGACGAGGAGGCGGAGGAGTAACCGAGGTGACTGTGCAGGGGAATTCCTCTTCAGGGCGGCCCGCAAAGGAGGACAGACTGGGAGAGAGAGAGAGCAGGAGAGAGGGGCCGGCTCCGTGGAGCGAGACGCACGGGAAAAGCTCCGTGGTTGTGAGGACGCGGAGGGCAATGGCGCTGGAGCGCGTGCTGGAGAATTAACGCAGAGGACACGGGGAGCGTGGAGACGCGACACTCCGTGGTCTGCCCCCGTCTCCACGCAGGTGCACACCTGGTCTGTGTGTCCCCAGTGTTCACTGTGTCTCTGAACCTGGTCTGTGTGTCACCAGAGTTCACTGTGTCTCTCACCTGGTCTGTGTGTCTCCAGACTTCACTGTGTCTCTCTCACCTGGTCTGTCTCCAGTGTTCACTGTGTCTCTCACCTGGTCTGTGTGTCTCCAGTGTTCACTGTGTCTCTCACCTGGTCTGTGTGTCTCCAGTGTTCACTGTGTCTCTCACCTGGTCTGTGTGTCTCCAGTGTTCACTGTGTCTCTCACCTGGTCTGTGTGTCTATAGAGTTCACTGAGTCTCTCACCTGGTCTGTGTGTCTCCAGAGTTCACTGTGTCTCTCACCTGGTCTGTGTGTCTCCAGTGTTCACTGTGTCTCTCACCTGGTCTGTGTGTCTCCAGTGTTCACTGTCTCTCTCACCTGGTCTGTGTGTCTCCAGAGGTCACTGTGTCTCTGAACCTGGTCTGTGTGTCACCAGAGTTCACTGTGTCTCTCACCTGGTCTGTGTGTCTCCAGACTTCACTGTGTCTCTCTCACCTGGTCTGTGTCTCCAGTGTTCACTGTGTCTCTCACCTGGTCTGTGTGTCTCCAGTGTTCACTGTGTCTCTCACCTGGTCTGTGTGTCTCCAGAGTTCACTGTGTCTCTCACCTGGTCTGTGTGTCTCCAGTGTTCACTGTGTCTCTCACCTGGTCTGTGTGTCTCCAGAGTTCACTGAGTCTCTCACCTGGTCTGTGTGTCTCCAGTGTTCACTGTGTCTCTCACCTGGTCTGTGTGTCTCCAGAGTTCACTGTGTCTCGCACCTGGTCTGTGTGTCTCCAGTGTTCACTGTGTCTGTCACCTGGTCTGTGTGTCTGCAGTGTTCACTGAGTCTCTCACCTGGTCTGTGTGTCTCCAGTATTCACTGTGTCTCGCACCTGGTCTGTGTGTCTCCAGAATTCACTGAGTCTCTCACCTGGTCTGTGTGTCTCCAGTATTCACTGTGTCTCTCACCTGGTCTGTGTGTCTCCAGTGTTCACTGTGTCTCTCACCTGGTCTGTGTGTCTCCAGAGTTCACTGTCTCTCTCACCTGGTCTGTGTGTCTCCAGTGTTCACTGTCTCTCTCACCTGGTCTGTGTGTCTCCAGAGTTCACTGTGTCTCTCACCTGGTCTGTGTGTCTCCAGTGTTCACTGTGTCTCTCACCTGGTCTGTGTGTCTCCAGTGTTCACTGTGTCTCTCACCTGGTCTGTGTGACTCCAGTATTCACTGTGTCTCTCACCTGGTCTGTGTGTCTCCAGAGTTCACTGTGTCTCTCACCTGGTCTGTGTGTCTCCAGTGTTCACTGTCTCTCTCACCTGGTCTGTGTGTCTCCAGTGTTCACTGTGTCTCTCACCTGGTCTGTGTGTCTCCAGTGTTCACTGTGTCTCTCACCTGGTCTGTGTGTCTCCAGAGTTCACTGTCTCTCTCACCTGGTCTGTGTGTCTCCAGTGTTCACTGTGTCTCTCACCTGGTCTGTGTGTCTCCAGTGTTCACTGTGTCTCTCACCTGGTCTGTGTGTCTCCAGTGTTCACTGTGTCTCTCACCTGGTCTGTGTGTCTCCAGTGTTCACTGTCTCTCTCACCTGGTCTGTGTGTCTCCAGTGTTCACTGTGTCTCTCACCTGGTCTGTGTGTCTCCAGTGTTCACTGTGTCTCTCACCTGGTCTGTGTGTCTCCAGTGTTCACTGTGTCTCTCACCTGGTTTGTGTGTCTCCAGTGTTCAGTGTGTCTCTCACCTGGTCGGTGTGTCTCCAGTGTTCACTGTGTCTCTCACCTGGTCTGTGTGTCTCCAGAGTTCACTGTGTCTCTCACCTGGTCTGTGTGTCTCCAGAGTTCACTGTGTCTCTCACCTGGTCTGTGTGTCTCCAGAGTTCACTGTGTCTCTCACCTGGTCTGTGTGTCTCCAGAGTTCACTGTGTCTCTCACCTGGTCTGTGTGTCTCCAGACTTCACTGTGTCTCTCTCACCTGGTCTGTGTGTCTCCAGTGTTCACTGAGTCTCTCACCTGGTCTGTGTGTCTCCAGTGTTCACTGTGTCTCTCACCTGGTCTGTGTGTCTCCAGACTTCACTGTGTCTCTCTCACCTGGTCTGTGTGTCTCCAGTGTTCACTGTGTCTCTCACCTGGTCTGTGTGTCTCCAGTGTTCACTGTGTCTCTCACCTGGTCTGTGTGTCTCCAGACTTCACTGTGTCTCTCACCTGGTCTGTGTGTCTCCAGACGTCACTGTGTCTCTCACCTGGTCTGTGTGTCTCCAGTGTTCACTGTCTCTCTCACCTGGTCTGTGTGTCTCCAGAGTTCACTGTGTCTCTCACCTGGTCTGTGTGTCTCCAGAGCTCACTGTGTCTTTCACCTGGTCTGTGTGTCTCCAGTGTTCACTGTGTCTCTCACCTGGTCTGTGTGTCTCCAGTGTTCACTGTCTCTCTCACCTGGTCTGTGTGTCTCCAGTGTTCACTGTCTCTCTCACCTGGTCTGTGTGTCTCCAGTGTTCACTGTGTCTCTCACCTGGTCTGTGTGTCTCCAGTGTTCACTGTCTCTCTCACCTGGTCTGTGTGTCTCCAGAGTTCACTGTGTCTCTCACCTGGTCTGTGTGTCTCCAGTGGTCACTGTCTCTCTCACCTGGTCTGTGTGTCTCCAGTGTTCACTGTCTCTCTCACCTGGTCTGTGTGTCTCCAGTGTTCACTGTGTCTCTCACCTGGTCTGTGTGTCTCCAGTGTTCACTGTCTCTCTCACCTGGTCTGTGTGTCTCCAGAGTTCACTGTGTCTCTCACCTGGTCTGTGTGTCTCCAGTGTTCACTGTGTCTCTCACCTGGTCTGTGTGTCTCCAGTGTTCACTGTCTATCTCACCTGGTCTGTGTGTCTCCAGTGTTCACTGTGTCTCTCACCTGGTCTGTGTGTCTCCAGAGTTCACTGAGTCTCTCACCTGGTCTGTGTGTCTCCAGAGTTCACTGTGTCTCTCACCTGGTCTGTGTGTCTCCAGTGTTCACTGTGTCTCTCACCTGGTCTGTGTGTCTCCAGAGTTCACTGTCTCTCTCACCTGGTCTGTGTGTCTCCAGTGTTCACTGCCTCTCTCACCTGGTCTGTGTGTCTCCAGAGTTCACTGTGTCTCTCACCTGGTCTGTGTGTCTCCAGTGTTCACTGTGTCTCTCACCTGGTCTGTATGTCTCCAGTGTTCACTATGTCTCTCACCTGGTCTGTGTGTCTCCAGTATTCACTGTGTCTCTCACCTGGTCTGTGTGTCTCCAGAGTTCACTGTGTCTCTCACCTGGTCTGTGTGTCTCCAGTGTTCACTGTGTCTCTCACCTGGTCTGTGTGTCTCCAGTGTTCACTATGTCTCTCACCTGGTCTGTGTGTCTCCAGTATTCACTGTGTCTCTCACCTGGTCTGTGTGTCTCCAGAGTTCACTGTGTCTCTCACCTGGTCTGTGTGTCTCCAGAGTTCACTGTGTCTCTCACCTGGTCTGTGTGTCTCCAGTGTTCACTGAGTCTCTCACCTGGTCTGTGTGTCTCCAGAGTTCACTGTGTCTCTCACCTGGTCTGTGTGTCTCCAGTGTTCACTGTGTCTCTCACCTGGTCTGTGTGTCTCCAGTGTTCACTGTGTCTCTCACCTGGTCTGTGTGTCTCCAGTGTTCACTGTCTCTCTCACCTGGTCTGTGTGTCTCCAGTGGTCACTGTGTCTCTCACCTGGTCTGTGTGTCTCCAGACTTCACTGTGTCTCTCTCACCTGGTTTGTGTGTCTCCAGAGTTCACTGTGTCTCTCACCTGGTCTGTGTGTCTCCAGACTTCACTGTGTCTCTCTCACCTGGTCTGTGTGTCTCCAGTGTTCACTGTGTCTCTCACCTGGTCTGTGTGTCTCCAGACTTCACTGTGTCTCTCTCACCTGGTCTGTGTGTCTCCAGTGTTCACTGTCTCTCTCACCTGGTCTGTGTGTCTCCAGTGTTCACTGTGTCTCTCACCTGGTCTGTGTGTCTCCAGAGTTCACTGTGTCTCTCACCTGGTCTGTGTGTCTCCAGTGTTCACTGTCTCTCTCACCTGGTCTGTGTGTCTCCAGTGTTCACTGTGTCTCTCACCTGGTCTGTGTGTCTCCAGTGTTCACTGTGTCTCTCACCTGGTCTGTGTGTCTCCAGTGTTCACTGTCTCTCTCACCTGGTCTGTGTGTCTCCAGTGTTCACTGTGTCTCTCACCTGGTCTGTGTGTCTATAGAGTTCACTGAGTCTCTCACCTGGTCTGTGTGTCTCCAGTGTTCACTGAGTCTCTCACCTGGTCTGTGTGTCTCCAGAGTTCACTGTGTCTCTCACCTGGTCTGTGTGTCTCCAGTGTTCACTGTGTCTCTCACCTGGTCTGTGTGTCTCCAGTGTTCACTGTCTCTCTCACCTGGTCTGTGTGTCTCCAGTGGTCACTGTGTCTCTCACCTGGTCTGTGTGTCTCCAGACTTCACTGTGTCTCTCTCACCTGGTTTGTGTGTCTCCAGAGTTCACTGTGTCTCTCACCTGGTCTGTGTGTCTCCAGACTTCACTGTGTCTCTCTCACCTGGTCTGTGTGTCTCCAGTGTTCACTGTGTCTCTCACCTGGTCTGTGTGTCTCCAGACTTCACTGTGTCTCTCTCACCTGGTCTGTGTGTCTCCAGTGTTCACTGTCTCTCTCACCTGGTCTGTGTGTCTCCAGTGTTCACTGTGTCTCTCACCTGGTCTGTGTGTCTCCAGAGTTCACTGTGTCTCTCACCTGGTCTGTGTGTCTCCAGTGTTCACTGTCTCTCTCACCTGGTCTGTGTGTCTCCAGTGTTCACTGTGTCTCTCACCTGGTCTGTGTGTCTCCAGTGTTCACTGTGTCTCTCACCTGGTCTGTGTGTCTCCAGTGTTCACTGTCTCTCTCACCTGGTCTGTGTGTCTCCAGTGTTCACTGTGTCTCTCACCTGGTCTGTGTGTCTATAGAGTTCACTGAGTCTCTCACCTGGTCTGTGTGTCTCCAGAGTTCACTGTGTCTCTC